GGGTTATGGATTTGGGGAAAGAATATCACAGAGGTAAAATGCTCTTCTCATTGCTTCATGTCAGGGTGTACCCGATATGAACATGACTTATAACTAGTAATGTTAACTGGATCACTTGGCTAAAGTGGTCTCTGCCAGTTTTCTCCACTATTTTTCCTTTTCTTTATTCAATTTCCTAGAAGTGAAGCCAGGCCCTCATTCAAGGGGAGGAGAATTAAGCAGCACTTTCTAGAGGAAGAAGTAACAAAGAATTTGTGGACATATGTTAAAATCATCACAATAATTAATACATATTTGGGGGACAGAGTTAGAGGCTATGCTAATATCGTTTCTTAACATTTCACACTCACTTATCTTAGCATTCATTTGTACATCTTGCTTGCATCAATTACTGCTGTGGTGTTGTAATGGTGATTATTTATTGTCCTCATTTCTTCTATATTTATTAATGGAAATTCTTCTGTAAGGAAGATGTGTCTTTTCCTCTTATTTATTTATTCAATCATTTATATCAGATTGGACTGATGGATACTTATTTTTTGGGGGGTTTATGAAGCAATACTATAATTTATTTTATTGATCAAACTGTTCTAGCTTTGGTCATTGGAAGCTGTTTCAAGTTGGTCCTGTGCCCTTTTGACATGCATCCATTTTTTTTTTTAAGCACTTCTTTACTTTCTGGCACAAGTGCCTCCGGTTCATCTTGTTATTTCCTCTGGCACAGACCTAGTCATTCTTCTAGGGACCCCTTGATTCTTTTATTGAAAACCAAGATCTAGGTGTGAATTCTGTTCATTTGTTTCAACGTCACAAATTAATTCCCTTTATTTTTAAGTCAAAGATTTAATTATTGGGTTGAATAAGAAGATTCACTAAGTTCCTGAAAATTAAAACCTAAAAATCCAAAAATGTTTTTATTCTCACTATGAATCACAGAAAAATCACCAGTAGTTTTCCAAATTTTTCCAGTTCCCTCAATTTAAGGCCAATTCCCTCAAATTTAGAATAGAATAATTTGGGGGAAA